ATGCTTTCTTCCAGTTTGTTGATCTCCCCATCTGAGGAGGGCTGCATCTCTGGAACATTATCCATAGGCTATTCATGCTTCTGATCCTCTGGCCATCCCCTGGCATTGGTTCCCTCGAGGCGCTGGAGAGTTTACACATCTGTCTGCTTAAGAGGAACAATATCTGTCTTCCATGCAGTTTTTGAGGTTGCCTCTCCTTTTTTCATCTGTCTGTGTCCCTACTGGGGATAATAACCCCCTCTAGTTGTCCCTGTGACCAAGTGGGTGGAAATCCAGAGTTTTAGTATTATAAACAGAACAAGAGGTGAAAGGTAAATTGGGACAAATAATTGCATAACTATAATCTACAGTAGGTGTCCCACAAAAGCTCTTTTATGAGATTTCCTCTCTCTTCCTATTGTTTCCCCAGGACTGGAAGTGAATGGAATCTCCGCAGAATGATACAAACAGCAAAAGTTACCCTGTTCTATTAGAATTTATATCTTCCTTACTCTATCCAAAAAATGTTTTAGCTTTGCATCCATTTTAAATGTCTGCAATGAGGTGCAACATTCAGAACTGAGAGACTACCTTGAAGACTTCACGGGAAATTAAGTGAAAAGAAGTGATGATGAGGTCAAGCAACAAAAGATTGTAGGGAGGATTGCCTAATTACTTGAAAAATTTGCTCAGGCACTAGGTTCTACATTTTTAGCATGACTGCCAGAAATACAGACAAACCTTACCAAGTAATTGTTTTCTATATTAATATGAATCATTGCCTATATCCTAAAAAAATATGTTAGCAGCTTTTCACTATTCTTTTATTCTGTTGTTGTTCAACAATTGCACATTTCTGAAATCAGGAAATTTAATTTCTACTTTATCTTAAAGCTGAATGTTGGGAAACCTAAATATCCTCCCTTGCAGTGGGTTTGCAACCCTCACTGCAAGGGTTGCATGCTTATTTACGTCTAGGGAACCTAATGCATTATTTTCCTTTTGTGGACTGACAACATACAGCATTTTGTCGCCTAAGTGTTGTCAGCCCCACCCACTGTCTTATGGTAAACTACTCAAAATTCCCTTTGTCTTATTATTCACAGCCTAGTGACTAAGTGGCTTAACCACTTCCCGTCCGGCCCATGTATATAAACGGCTGGAAGGGAGCAGTGCAGGGGTGGGTGGCCGTTTATAAACGGCCTCCCCGCTCCCTGCTTGTGCGCTCTCCCTGGGAGCATGCAGCACTGTGACCCGCTGCCCGCTGTGTCCTCCGGACACAGTGGAACACCGATCATAGTACGGGACCTCTATGAGAGGTCCCGATCATGAGATCACTGATTGGCCAATCAGTGATCACATCAAGACTGGTAAGCACTTCTGACATCATTGCTTACTACGTTTGAAATCTGTGAATGATCACAGAGGTCACATGGTACAAGGCTATTCACAAAGGCATTGTACCATGTGACAAGCTGTGACAGTATTTCTCAATGGCTGCAAGAATGCAGCCAGAGAGAAGGAGAAATGATTGCTTTTACAGCCTTTATGGGTGTAAAAGCAATCAGTGTAAAAAAAAAAAATCTTCATCACCCCCCACAAGTAGTACAGTGTCACTATGGTGACACTGTACTGCTAGGGTGACCGTATGTAAAAAAAAAAAAAAACATAAATAATAATATAAACAAATAAAATAAAAATGTAAAAAAAAAAAATTTAGAAAAATTAGAATTGTTGGTTATAAACAAATATGGGTTATTTTTGTTTTTACTAAAAAGATAACTGAATAAATGTTGGCCAAGATTTATGAAGAAAGATTATCAATTTGCACAAATTTTATAAGAAAAACACTTTTTCAAAATTTTTGGACTTTCATTTATATAGCAAAAAAATAAAAATCCCAGTGATGAATAAATACCACCAAAATAAAGTTTTATCTGTCTGAAGAAAATGCTAAAACAGTCATACTGGTACAGTGTTGCATGACCGCGCAATTGTCATTCAAAGTGTGATAGCGTTGAAAGCTGAAAATTGGCCTGGACAGGAAGGGGGTAAAAGTGTCTGGACTTGAAATGGTTAAAGTCCAAGATATGAACAATTAGGACTAAATAGTCTCTTTGAAACGATACATTCAAAGAGTACTGCACACAGGACAGCTCTGAATTGCTTACAAGATCAAAAGGGTATTTTTTGCACTTATTAAATAAGACATAACAAGACAATTCCATAGATGTATTCAACATACCAAGCAGGAGCAAATAAGAGAAGTTCATTGTTAGGATTTACCAAAACTTTAACATATTTCAGCAGACAAATAATTCACTATATGAAAGATAAGCCTGATTTGGCTCATTTCTAATTTCAAGTTTTAAATTTAGGTCTAACTTTTTTGGCATAGAGATCCACCCTTCTTTGACATTCTGAACACAAATCTAGAAAGAAGACCCCATCAAAATAAAAGGGGAAGATGTGTTTGCTAAGAACAGGAAGATAAATTAAAACTTTTGTAGTCAATTGACAGCATCAATGCTTTTATGATCTTTGGTGGATAGAACAATGAAAAAGAAGAAATTGTTTCTGAAAAAATAGTGCAGCAACACCACAGCAATGCAAAATGGAAAGAAAAAAAGGGTAAGTGACACATTTTTAAAACGTGCATCAGTTTTGGGGGTTTTTTTTTTTGCAATGTGAAAAAAATAATTTTTCCTTAAAATTTGGAGACTGAAAAATTAGAATTGTTTTTCTTTTTAAGAAATGGTACTTTAACAGGACGTGGAAACATTATAAGAGAGCGTCAGAGAATTCCAACTTTGAAGGGACTGGCAACCTTAGATCCACAAAAAAGCCAGCAAATATATAAAATAAAATACAGTTTTCTATATTAATATTTCTATAATAATTTGAATATTAATTTAAATCATTGCCTATATTCATTGCCTGAATCATTCCTATTTACTGTAGTATTATTTATATTAGCAGTCACCCTTTTTTTCTACATTATTACATTTTACAATAAATTTATCTCAAGTATTTTTTTCCTCTCTGTATCTTTAGCTTCTTTGTTAGACTTACATTTAAAGAGGAACTTCAGCTTGATTTTTTTTTTTTCAACAAATACTGAAGCTTCTGACTCTTAACCTCTTCGAATGCGGCCGGCAAAAACCGTCACCTTTCCGGGTGGACACCATATGTGCAGTTTGCATGCCTGCAGAGCCGTGCAGCGTACCTCGGACACGGCCGATGACAGATCTGAGCACTGGCCCCGTTGCCGGTACCATGTGACCTGCTGTGACCAATCACAGCAGGTCACATGACAGTTGTATACAATGGATGGCTTCATTCATGCCATCCATTGTATACTAGTGTGTCTAGCTGTGAATGGTCACAGTGATCACATGCACAAGCTGGGCCAATCACAGCCCAGCTGTGTCATGTGATTAGCCGTGGCCAAATCACAGCTAAGCACAAAAAAAAGAAAAAACCTGAATAAATCGATGTCATTCAGGTAAATGCTTGCTTATAGCAAAGAAATTCTTTGCTATAAGCAAATTGTGTAAAAAAAAAAAAAAAAAAAAAAAAAGAAAAATACTGATCACTTCCCAAACGTAGTACAATGTTACTATGGCAACATTGTACTACTTTGGTCATAGTGAAACATGAAAAAAAAATCTTAAAAAAGAGAAAAAAGTAATAAAAAATAATACAAAAAATTAATACAAAAATTAAAACAAAATTATATATTTTTTTTTTTTTTTTTTTTTTCATACTGTCAACAGTCAGTGTCCCTGATCACCACCAGGCCAGTTATATGATGACGCTGTACTGCACTGGTGACAGTATGTAAAAAAAAAATAGTGAACATTTATTAAGTTTTCCGAAAAATTATGACAAAAAAAAATACAACTTCAAAAAACTCGCCATGCCTCTTATGAAGTACGTTGGACTGTCTACTTTGCAAAAAGGGGTCATTTGGAGGATATGTCATTTGGAGGATATCTGTACCGTCCTGACATTTGTGGGATATCTGTCCTGTCCTGACATTTGGGGGATATCTGTACTGTTCTGACATTCTTGGACCTCAAGAAATTAGATTGGCTGTCAGTACTTCAGCATTGATCAATATTCAGATATCTCCCATAGTCTGTGAACTCTATAACTTTCCCACAAACTAAAAAATACATCCTAATTTGGGTTATTTTTACCAAAGACATGTAACAGAATACATCTCGGCCTAAATTTATGAAGAACAATTATTTATTTGCAAACTTTTATAACAGAAACAAAGAAAAACGTGTTTTTTTTTTCAAAAATTGTCGGTCTTTTTAAGGTATTCTGGCAAAAAATAAAAACCACAGTGGTGATTAAATACCACCAAAAGAAAGCTCTAGTTTTGTGAAGAAAATGATAACATTTTAGTTTGGGTACAATGTTGTATGTCCACGCAATTGTCATTCAAAAATGTGAGAGAGCTGAAACCTGAAAAATGGCCTGGGCAGGAAGGGGGTAAAAGTGCCCAGTATTGAAATTGTTACAATTCAGGTACTTACCTGGGGTCCAGTGCTGTCTTCCTGCAGGTGAGGATTGTGGAGATGGGAGCAGGAAATGGTAAAATCGGTACTCGCCACTCCCCAAAAAAACTGTAACTCCGTTGCAGACTGGTGGGAGGGAGCTTTTTGAGTGAAGTTCAGCTATAAAGTGTTACTAAACTCACAACATTAAAATCAGTCTGTAATACAGTAAAGCATGGTTGTTATACTCACTGTGGAACCTAAGGGGTTAATTCTCCACATTGTGTAAAAAGGCTGTTTGATCCTCTCTTCACTGATCCTCCCCTTCTTCCATTGTCCCCTAAATATCTCCTGATAAACAGAGGTTTGGAGTCACACTGCACATGCTCAATTTGGTGTGTATTGCTAGAAAGGTTTTTTTTCTTCTAGGGAGAGTGCATGTGAATGGCACAGGGCCAATCAGCACTGTCCAGACAGAGGGTCAAAGGTTATGTAGATTCACAAGACAATCAGGGGAGAATGGAAACTCCTCCTACAAGCTTTAACCAGTGCTCTGCTGGACACTGATAGAAGTTACAAGACTGCTCCAACTGCTAATGAGAAAAGGTATTTAGCAGTTTATATTTACTAAAATAATTGCATTTCCATATTCTGTGTACTGTGGGAGACCAGATATTGTGAATGCAGGGACCTGGGTTAAGTAACATTTTAAGATTTTATTTTGTTTTAATGTTCTGTGTACTTTACTGTAAATATTTGGTTTTCTTTACACAGTTTTGCTATTTTACTAAGAAATGTTTATGAAAAAATATTTGTGATTTTGGTATTCTTGGTCTCAACTGACTAGATCTTAAAGGATTCAAAAACCTCTGACAAATAGCAACAAAATAACATGCCCTTAACAAATGTGGTTTACTAAGATACAGTAATTATTTACTGACTGTCCTAATTTACAATACCACATTTTCCAGAAAAAGTACATTTTTAAGTGAGGCAAATGTATAGTTTTTTTTTATTATTGTTGATATAATCAGAGTTTACAAGTGCTAATTTAGTTAAAGCAATTTTCGTTTAACACTTTTTTTGGACTAGGCTTTTTAGACTCTCAAAACATCTAAGCTTAATGAACACATCTATGCTCACTATATTCCACAATTACAATGTTCCAATCAATTAACACTTATGTGCTACAATCATTGAGGTTATTTTATCGTTTGTTCTTTTACTAAACCATTTTGCCTAATACTGAACTTGCACATGAATACAATAACAGAAATGATTCATTCATTCACTGTTTATAGAAATATCTTTTGGTGTTCTATTTAACAACACATCACTATAATTGCTTTTTTTTATCTTTTGTACAACACAAAACAAAAATGCTTTAGGCACAATGCCAACCTTGATGACCATTATCTATTTTCTTTCATTTTCAATTAAGCTATTGCAAAATCATTTTATTTGTTAAGAATTTTCCCTTTCTCGAGTCTTTTTTTTTACAACAGGCAATTTAGTGGAAAACAAAAATACAAATACGAGTTTTTAGTATACTGCACATTATGAAGTATTGATATTTTAGACATGTAATGTTACCTAAATATACTGCTTTTATTTTAGTCTGTAAATACTGTCTGGCTCTCTGACTTCAAAGATTATTCAACTCAAAAGCAAAAATGTAATATATTGTAGCTTTCTAATCATTAGATGTGGTGGCTGCAATAGTTGTCTTTTTTGGCTGTTTTCACCTGTGATCTGGCCAGTAATACACCACCTCCACTCTGGCCGTGTATTACTCTCTTTTGGGGGTCTTGCATTCATAGTGGAATAATATGTATGTAATTGCTATGTAATGGTCTACATTTCTATAATAAAGTGATTTTAAATATATCTTTGTTGCAGTGCCTCTAAAGTCTGCAATTGGCCTTTTTTATTTTTCTTTGGTTCATTCTATTTCACTATACTATTGGTGATGTCTAAACAGATATGCAATATTCACCATCTATCCAATCCCATTCAGTCTTCCTGGTGACCTCTGCTGTCAGCTTGGTATTGTCTACTTCTTCTGACTCCCAATCCAACATTATGTGTGTAATGGCAAGGTGTACCAGGCCCCTCACAAAGCTGTGTGAAAGGAAAAAGAGGATATTTTGTTCAGAATTCAGCCATGACAGTTTGCAACCCAAGGAGACCTAATAGCAGCAGGACCTTCTTATCAGTCCATTAATCTGAAGCACACAGACCTCCATTAACCAATACACAATTCAGTCTAGGTACCCATGTAAAACTGTCAAGCTTGAGCAACCCAGAAAACAGAGATCGTGCCAGATCACCTCTATCATAAATACCTTAGAGGGAGTCTGTAGAAATACATTTTTCTGTTTCTTCTTCTTGGTGGTAAATCCATAATCCCAGTGTATTTCATGAAATATTAACAGTACAACCAGAATAAGGACATACTTACCTCCCTCAGTTAATTAGTACTGTTTTAAGTCCAAACACTTCTACCCTAGGAGTACCGGGAACAGAATTGGCCCAATTCCTCTCCTCGGCGAACTAGGTATCTGAAACCTGTCATATTTGTATTAATTCAAAGGTAATTCAATGCTGGACATTAATATGCACATTAGCAGACTATAAGGTATTCAAAGATATTACTACCTATAGAAAAGTGTTACTGTGGCACGATCATAAACACTGAGACAGTCACCCCTTAGCCCCTTGATTGGTTAAGTAATTTATGTCAACACCCCCTCAAGATCCAGAAAACCATTGACTGCAACCACAGTTAGGGGCTCTCGTTTATCAAACCAAGGAACACTGAACAGGACTTGTGAGAGACACTGTACCATCTTGTTTATTCATTGGATGCTGCAAAACAGGACTTGCAAGTATTTTAATTTTTAACCCCTTTTGTATTGCTGTTGCATTATTGTCTCTGTTTCTGTTGTAATACCTTTTTATAAATACCTTTTTGCATCATTTTTTACCTTCTCATTATTAAACCATATTTTGAAAAGTGTTAAGATTGTCTCTAATTTACTAACGCAGAACTAAAAGAATCCCTGTCTCTTTGAAGAGTGCTACTGTCATATAAATTTCTGGATCTGCTTGTCTTTGCTGACAGTGTGTGTACAGACATTTATTCAAAGTCATAAGTTTACTACTTCTCTATAAAAGTAGTTTGTGGCTGTTTAAAGAGTTAACTGCTTAGTTAACTAAACCCAGTGACAATCACTCTGTTGGCACTTAGATTGTGGCCTCGCAAGCTGGAAAATCTTTGTGCAGGGTGAGGCTAAGAGTGTCATTATTGCATATCAGTGACAGCGCAGTGGGAAGCTGACCTGTCATTTGGTGAAAGGACAGTGGTCTGACACCGCATTTGTCAAAATGTGTACCCTGCCTGGAAAGGTACAAGTATGGCCTGGTAGTTTGCATTTTAATTTTTCTTGTTGCCTGCTGTAAATTTTTTCTGCTTTATCTATAGTTTAGTATGGATAGTTGTTTTTTTATTTCATAACTGTCCATGTGGAACATTGTACACATTAATGTGGTCGTGGTAAGTTATGAATGTCTTGACTGCACCATTTGGTTTTGTCAATTATGCTTCTAGAGCCCTCCTAATATCACAGGTAGGTATTAAGTTAGACAGGTGACAAATCATCTAAAGATGAAATAATTGCAGAATTATCTAGTCATTTCTTGCTATGTACTGTACATATATTATTTAATGCAGCAATTCTTATGTATCCCAACACTTGTGCAATTTATTCTCAGTTTAGATAATGTTAACACTAGATCAAAACACCTGTGGCAGCTCAAAGAGGGATTAGTGATAACATATATAATTTTAGTCTACATACAGCACAAATCATTGCAAAACATCTGGCCAAATCTGGACATTTTCAGATGGTTTTCTATCCGTATGCATATAACATTTTTAAACCATTAGATCAATTTTCTAGACCAATAATCTTTAGTTTCTAAAGCAATCACCTGTGCTGCTCAATATGTTTCAGTTTTGCATAATTTACATATTCTCAGTCAACTGTAACCCTATTGTCCAATGTCAAATTAAATAAAAAAAATAAATAAATGAAAATATGAATAATAAGTTCGACTTTTTTCAAAATCTAATACAAAATACAATTTTATATCAATGTTTAGGTTAGTAAACAAAAATAAATAAAAATATGAACAGAAACAAAAATTACATTTGGTTTAAATTTCAATACCACAATTAAATTTTAAAGGCATGCTCTAATGAAAAAAATTGAAAATTAAGTTTCATACAAGAAATACTGCCTAAAGCAGGGTAGGCAACTTTGATACTTCAGCTGTTTTTAAACTACAAGTCTCCTAAAGCATTGCAAGACTCTGACATGAGGCATGATGGGAGTCAAATTTTCAGCACAGCTGGAGTGCCAGCGTTGACTATTCCTGGTCTAGCCCTTTGAGGACCAAGGGACGTATTTGTCCCATGTTTTTAATTGCGTGTATCATCTGATTAAGAACTTAAAACTCTTTCTTTTTTTTTTTGGTTTGAGTCAAAATATTAGTTCTTATCAACAAACAACAAACGGATCTAGCTTTTTGCCAATTATTTCATGAAATGGCTTAGTTACAGCAACTGAAGTGTACGAACTTTAAAAACAAAAAAAAAAATGTATTCTTTTGGCGTTCCAAAATCTTACAGTCCTCAAAGGGTTAAAGGCTCAAGGATGAAATTTTTCATCCAAATATAGTTGCCCCTCTCTACCTGCTGGTGACAACATATGCCAAAAAGGTATTCCCATAACCGCTGAAAGCACCTTGCATAAAATCTGATATATACATTGGTATGAGGAAATTTCTCACAGCAGCAAAACAGATTGGAATCTGCTTAAAAGCATAAATATGAATGGTGATATAGGAAGCAGAGATAAAGTATTACAGTGCATATAGTTCAGTAAACAGCTCCACCAGCTTCACAGGTGAAGATCTCTTTTAGGAATGAGCCAACAGTTCAGTCCAAACCTAGGCTTTGGATGAATGCCTGTAATTTTGTCCAACTGGCCCCCTTTTCATTGGGAGCCAAAATCATATCTCTACCACTTCTATATATGACAGCTTCCCACTCTCGCTGGTTCCCAAGGAAGTCATGGAGGTTTGCACCCACCATGTCCCTTGGCTGATGTCACCTGGAATCCCTGCCATTTAAGCAAAGGGGGTTAGCAGTGACATCACTACCCAAATATGGGCCATATTTAGCTAATAACACTGGTCAACTGTGTTCATGGCCATATTTGGTTAATGATACCACCATCAACCTCTCCCCTTTCCTTATTAAACTGAAGACAGCTTGTGGAGCTGTCATTTGGCTATGCTTACCACCAGGATTGGTCATGTGCACCTGGTAGTCGGGTTTTTTTTTCTGAGAGTCAGCGGGTGGCTGATGGATTTACAACTAGGAATTTTTTTTTCATTTCTATTTTTTTTATAGAAGGACCTGTCAAACATTTGGGTGTCTTTATTTATTTTTTTTCTGTGAATGAGTAGGAGTACTATGTACACCATACTAATTTGTTGTGGGAACTCTGCTATCGAAGGGCCCTTTTATTCTGAAAGGGGCTTCGGATTTCAATAGTCCCTCGCCTGCAGACCACAGAAACTCTTGGTCAGCATTGTAGGGATCAACATCTTATCTGACCAGCCAGACT